GCGGGGACCGTCGGGGACACTGCCCTGGCCCCCAGCCCGCCCCGCAGAGTCACCCCGCCAGGAAGCGCGGTCCCCAGAGACCGATCCTTGCGCGCGAGACTCTGGCGGGACCTCAAGGATTTCTCGTTCTTGTCAACGGCCCCCAAATTTGGGGGGAAATTCGAGAGTGTGCGAGACACAGGGTTCCTGATCTGCAGCAGCCTGCCCAGTCTCTGCCCCGCGGGGCCGGCAGGGGCTGACACTCAGGGTAAGCCAGGGCCTGCCCGGCGGTTGCGCAAGTTGTACTGAGGAACTATATAAGAGGGGCAGGCAGGCATGGAGCTCCAGAGGGATCCCGGTACCAGCAGCTCCGAGGTAAGACCGGGTGCACTCCTTTCTCCTTTGCTGGTCTTTACTAGCAGGCCACAGCATCCTAGCCACCTCGGCAATCCGGAGTAACTGAGGCAGGTAGGAGGCAGGGTGAATGGCTTGATTCTAGGCTATGCAGCTTTACAGAGTTCCAGCCGAAGGGAAGGCAGCTGGGAGCTGCCTGGGAGCTGGGCAGTTGGATTTGGGGTAGGCTGTGTCGGTTGTCCTTGCAGAACCATCCAAGGCCCCAGATTATCATGTCGGCAGTGCTGAGATACTTTAGAAACTGCTGTGAGCAGTTCTTCCAAAGTTTAGGGTGCCCTTCTGAGGACCAGCAGCCTTGCTCTACCAGTAAGGGGCTCAGGCCTCATTTCCAGCATGGGTTCTAGCCTCCAAATGAGATGCTGCAAGAGGTCCAGGCCTAGGACTGGGACTGCAGTGTGTGGGCAGGCAGGAAAAAACTGTCAGGAAGATCCCAAATCCCCCAGACAAACTGGGCCAGGTCTCATCACATCTGGCCTCACAGCCTTCCAAATTGTCTTCTTCACAGTGGACACAGCTGAGTGTCTGGGGAGCAAAACAGCAGTTGTGGGAAAAGCCTACAACCTGCAGATTTCCACACTGTTGGCAGGTGAGCTCTTGGAGAGACCACCCAGCCTTCCTCCTTTCTGGGCTTGGTTTAGACTGCATTATAGGTGCCATTGCCTTTATACTCCTGTTTCTGTGGCTTAAGAGATGGTGGCACTTTGGAAAAGTGACTCCTTTAGTACAGTGAGATCCAATGAGACAAGTGGCCTGGTTGTCATGTGTGAACCACTGCTTTGGAGAAAACAAGACGATTACTGGGAAGACGGTCTTAGGTGGAGGTGGGCAGAGGGCAGGATGTGGTACTGTCCTGGGAGCACAAGCTCTCTGAGTGCCTTTGCCCCTAGCAGCTCCAGTTATGTTTGTTCTGGAGAGTTCTGATCTGAGATTGGGGGAGTGTTCCCACCAGGACGGCCTCTGGAACCAAACTCCAAAAGAGTGGTTCCTGGTAACGTAGTAGTTCCCATTTGATGCCCTTCAGAGTAGAAAGGCCATATTGATCATTTATCTCATTAGGCAGGGAGTTAAAAGCCAAGAGGAAAAAAAAGGTGAATGCTTTTTTTTTTCTTTCCTTTCTCAACCAACTGAAGACATTGGGCTGAGGGGCACATTTCCATGTTGGCCAAAGGAGCATCTTTCTCATATTTTGTATATCTTATACTCAAAATAACTCTTCTTGGTATCTGGGGGAAATATATTCCTCCCCCTCTGTTCCAGGAAATCGCTTTGAGTGCCAAGGACAGAGCCAGGGAAGTTGCAATGAATTCCTGCCCGGGGACCCCAGGCAGATGCCTCTCACGTCTGAATAGCCCATGCAGGGGATGGAGGTGGCCACCTGGGAGAACTCTTCTAGCAGAGCTCTGGGGCAGTGTCCCACCCCTGCCTAGAGGCACCCAGGGGAGCAGGGGAGCCCAGGAGAGAGAAGAGGCTCCAGGGAAATGCAGCCCTCCTGCTGCATGCATCCCTGAGCAACATCTGTGGGACTGAAAGGCAAACTGAGCCGAATCATCTGGCCTTCAGTCAATCAGGAAAGCCGGCTCTCACCAGGCAGGGCAGGGGTGAGGGGAGATTCCAGCAGCCGCAACTCCATTCTGGCTCATTGGCAAAGAGCCTTGAAGTTCTTCTCTGTCTACATTGTTGTCTCTGAGAAACAGACAGGTTGTTTGACGCTTTGAAACGGCACACCTGGTGCTTGGGCCCACAGACGTCCCTGCTCACACAACAGATGTTCCTTGAGCCACAGCAAACGGCACGTCATTGTAACTCCTGCTCACTTTGCTAACTCTCTGGAACTGAATCGGTAATCAGTGTCCGTGCTTGCATTTTAGCTATACTGCTGCTGTAGTCTCCATCTGTCTTATACGCCATGCTGTGCACTCGGCTCTGTCGGGGAAGCCTTGGAGAAGACAGGGAGCAGATCACAGGTCTCTGGCAAGGAGAGAGTCAGGAGGGAAGGGTCAGGAGGCCAGCTCCAGAATGAGTCCACGGCAGGGACACCTGGGCAGCAGTCCAGGTGGAGCAGGGCTATGGAAGCTGGAAGGAGTTTGGGCCCACACGGATGCTGGGGACACATGGCTGGTGCAGAAAGCACACAATGGAGACTCACACCCTGAAGAGGTGTCTGTCTTCATTACGGCAGCTTCCTTGGAGTTTCTGCTGGGCAAAATTGAATTTAAGATCTGACTTTCAGATGGGAGCCAGTAAGGTGCTGTGGAGGTAAGTTAACTTGGCTAGCCAATGAAGATCAGGGATAGGAAATGCTTCTTCTATTCATTCAATAAATACGAAGCAAACACCTGCTCCATGCCAGGGCCTTGGTAGATGCTGGAACAGGTATGGGGCCACTACTTGATTAGGTACCCTCTCCCTCTGAGTCTGGCCAGATCTTCAGGTTCGCCCCCTACAGCACTCCAGAGAGTCACTAAAAATTGATGAGAATTGACACAAGAGTTGAAACCTACTTGCTACCTCTGATAGGATCAGATCTCAGGGTAGTTCCCCATGAACAGGAAGAATATAGCCCCCACTTCCACTCTCTGGCTACCAGTTAAGTATGTTAATATAGTTTGTCAAATAGGGCTTTTGGTTATAAAGGAAAGAAAATCATTCCTGCTAACTCAGTGATTCTCAAATTATATATTATGACCAACATTTGAAAGATGAACAGAAACCAGGTATCACCAGTAGTAAGGGTGAATTTCAGTGGAAAATGTTCAGGAAGATGAAAAGTTTTCCAGTATATTCATTTGTTTTCATTGCTATAACAAAAGTGTCTGAGGCTAAGTAACTTTATAAAGAAAAGAGGTCTCTGCTTCTTTGGGGTTGACTTAATCTAATGTCCTCCAGTTCCACCCATGTTACTGAAAATGACAGAATTCCATTCTTCTTTTGGGTAAACAGTGCTCCACTGTGTAGTGGCAGTCTGCAGAAAAAACTAGCAAGGAAGATGGCCAGATATGCGAGAAAGGAGTGGTATGAAGGAGATGCAGAGGGGGGCTGCATCGGGGGGCAGGCAAGTCCACCCCACCCTGGCCCGTCCAGTCCCTGGCCTCCTGGGCAAGGCCCCTCTCCTCTCCAGTCCCTGCTTTAACAGTCCCTAGAGGATGGGAAAGAGACAGTGCTGCATCAACCTTTCAGCAATTCATCTTTAGGCTCTTACAGCTCCTACGTGTTCAAACTCCACTTCGGAAACTTGAAGGGAAAAGACTTCAAAGCCCAGGCCGGCAGGTGACAGTAGACTTTCTCCCTGCCCACCAGCTCCTGAGCCCCCTCCTCTACTCTGGTCTACACAGCTCCTGGGCTCCACCCACAGCTCTTTCTCCTGAGTTCAGACTCCCGAATCCTTCCACCCCTTGGACGCACCCGCCTGATGTCCCACCAACACCAGGAGACCAGAAGGTCCCCAAGCCCCTCTTTCAAACCTCTCCATGTGTTTCTCTCAGTGTCTATGTCTCCATTCTTCTGATCACCTGGGTGGGAACCTGTGTTCCTCAGTTCTGCAGATGGAAGCACAGCCCCCCTGCCTGGCCCTCACAGCCTCCCCATCCCAACCCACTCCACCCCTCATCCTTGTCACTCTCCAGCCGGCTGGAAGCCACCATCTCCTAAACCCACCTGAGTTCCTTGGCCCCTTCTATCCTCAGTCACTTACCAAATGCCATCCTCTCCGTACGATTCCTTCTAGACATAATGGTGATGATGGCTAACATGTATTGGGCTAGAGGTGGCACCTGGCATGCCAGGCTAAATGCCAGGCAGAGGTGGCGCTTGATATGCACCACCTCAGTTCAGCCACAACAGCAAGTGGGAATTATGATTCATACCATCCCTGCTGTATAGCCAAGGAAACTGAGCCTCAGAGGTGCACAAACTTTGCCCAGGTCTTTTTGTTGTTATTGTTGTTATTGTTGTTTGCTTTTGTTTTTGTTTTGTTTTGAGACAGGGTCTCACTATGCAGTTCAGACTGACCTGGAACTCACTATGTAGCCCAGGCTGGTCTCGAACTCACAGCGATCCTCCTGCCTCAGCCTCCAGAGTGCTGGGATTACAGGTGTGCTCCACCACGCCTGGCTGCCCAGGTCTATTTTAGTACATGTCGTAGTGCGTAATGTTTACATCCCTGTGTGGAGATGGCACGTATATATACACATCTGAATTCCTTTTTCATCCCCTTTTCCTCCCTCCCAACTCCCTTCATCTCTTGGTCCCCTTCCCATTTGAGAAAGATTTATCTCCCTACTTCCTACTATCTATCTTTATTTTGCTTTTTATCTAGAATTTAAATTTCTCATATACGGTAAATCATGTGATATTTAAGCTTGTGTGATTGATTTATTTCACTTAACAGTATGCTTTTCCCAGATCTTGTACTCAAACTCAAAAATAGTTCTGCTGGACTGTAGAGCTCATAAATTTTAGCATAACGACTTCCTTTCCTGAATTACCCAAAGCATTTTATCTGTTTAAGTTTCTTCCCTGTGCTGAAATTGATTATGTAAATTCTTATACCAGAGAGCACAGTTTTGTTCTTTAATTTGTAATAAATAATATATGTAAGTAGTTGACAAAATTAGTGTAAAACTACCTAGGCTTCCTAGGGGAGCCTTCAGCCTGTGCCCCATCCCTCCCAGCTCCAGCTCCCTCCCTGCTTTCCAGACATCCATGATTTCACCTCTGCGCCTGGCCCACAGTGGGCCCCTAATAGATGTTAGCTGCCGACCATCAAATGCATCTTGAGTAACCGCAGTGTGTCAGGCACTATGCTCAGCAAAGTTGTATTTGCTGTCTCTAATTAGCCCTCCTCTCCTTAGTCCCTGCACCTCCCAGCCACTCCCTCTCCCTTTCTCAGGCCATGGCCAGGCCCTATGCAGGTACTGAGACTCCGCTGAACCTAAGAAGAATGGTCCATTCTCTTCCGATGATGACCATGTTAGGGCGCATTAGTCAGTCAGCATTAACTTTGGTTGCATACAGCTGAGACCAGGAAGAATAGTGGCTTAAATGAGACAGATGTTTTATGTCTCACATACACAAAGCACAAAGCCAGAGCTAGGTTGTGGAAGGTGAGGATGGCCTCTCAGCTTTGTAGAGGCCTCAGGCACTAAGGATCCTGCACCTTCCTGTCTGCCATTCATGAGGAAGACCTCTGTCCCCCGGGGTCAAGATGATGGGGGAATGCTGGCTACCACCTCTGCATTTCAGGCACCAGAATGGAGGAAGAGAAGGAAAAGCAAGAGGCACAGACACTCAGTGGGTTTCCAGAGCTGTCTCCTGGCACTTCAGCTTCTATTTAATTGGCCAGGATTTAGTTGCATAGCCACACCTACTGGGAGAAGCTGGGGAGTGTAGGATTTGAGTTTCCACAAGGAGGTAAGAAAGAAAAGCTAGAACTGGGGACAACCAGCAGCCTCCACTTCAAGGTTGATGTGCACTGATGTGTGTGTGTCTGTGCATGTGTGTGCATGCATGTGATGTGCTGTGTGTTGGTACAGCAGGTTCTTGCACTCACTTTGATCTCAGATGGACCTGTTACCATTTCTCTCTTCCACCCCTGTGGGTTTCCCCTAAGCCTGCCCTCTCCTTTCAGCTGACTTACTCAGCAACCGCTTTTCAATTTCATGCTTTCACGGAACCACAGTTTATTTTCAGCATGCACTGGAACGTATGATCAGTAGTGATGGAGGGGCTTATAAACCTGCTTTCTATTCAGGTGTTAGAGGGTGACCATTATGTGACAGTGGCTATAATACAATCAGAGTTAATCTGGCGATAAACTTTCTCAGGAAGGAGAGTGTATTCAACACGCAAATCTTAATAAAGAATGCAACTTAATCTTGTGCCGGTTCCCGAAACCCAGAAATACCAGGTACCCTGTTGGGATGGCCTGTGGCAAGCAGCAAGCCAAATGCTTGATTCAGAGTTGGCTACAGGTAGTGTTGGCCTGAGCATTTCAAGCCACGCCTGGTATTGGGATAATTTTTCAGCAGCTGACATTTATTACCCCTACCAGAAGCCAGACACAGGTGGGCAGGGAGTGCACAGGTTCGTCTCATTGACCCTTTGGGCCAGGTGGTGGAGTTAGCTGCATGGTACTAATAGGAACAGATGCTTTGGGAATTTCATATCTCACCCAAAGGCGCATAGCTAATAAGGGCAGAGCCTGCTGCTGAAGCCTCAGCATAAACACTATGCTTCCTACCTTTGCTAGGGTCTCAGGGAACTGTACGGGCGAGTAGCACTATGGTAGCGCCCGCTTCTTTGCAGGGGTATCTTCCAAGACACCTGATGGATAACTGAAACTGCAGACGATACTGAGCCCTGGATCTACTAGGTTTTCCTCTCTATACCCTGCAGCATTGCCACATGGTACACAGTTAATCTGCCTTCCATATTTTATCCTCCTTTGCTTCACTACTTTTGTACTTTGGAACCATTATTAAATTAAATAAGGGTTACCTGAGCACAAGGACTGTGACTCCATTGTAGTTGATCTGATAACTGAGACAATGACTAAGTGATGAACGGGCGGGTAGTGTAAACAGTGTGGACACATTGGACAAAGGGAAGAGTCACATCCTCGGTGGGATGGAGTGATATGGGGCAAGACTTCAGCATGTTACTCAGAATAATGCAGTTAAAGCTTAGAAATTATGCACTTCTAGATTTTTCTCATTTAATATTTTCGGACTATGGTTGACTGTAACTAAAACCTTGGAAAGCAAAACCTTGGGGGTGGGGGGAGCTAGGGTATTTCTGTTCCACAAATATTTTAGCTCTACCACATACTGGTCTGACTTTGGGCAAGTTGGCTCATCTTCGTGAGCCTCATTTTTTTCATTTTTGTAAAACAGACTAAAAAAGACTTGATCAACCAGTATAAATAATATATAAACAAATTGCTTACGTTTATTGTATTGCCAAAATCTGAATTATGTGAATATTACCACCTCTGGAAAGAAAATGCATTACCTTTGCACCTCAAGACCCAGATGAGGAAGAACGCAAAATGCAGGGATTAACTTTTTTGCCCTCCCAGAATCTTCATCTTAATATTTATTTCCATTTTATTGTTATTTTAGACTCATACACACATACTTAGCATGGATCATTGGCTACAAACTTGCATACATTTAACTTAATTACCTTTTGCCTCATGTATCTCATTAAAATTTCGCTGTTTAATCAAGGATCTGCATATTATTAATTTTAGAGTTCACAGTTTCATGATTCTGACAGTTTCAAGCATTCTGAGTGAACATGTTATGTTCTCTCCTGCCTCGATGCTTTTGAACAGCTGATCTCTTGGCCACTTGTCATGGCTATTTTCTACACTTAACCACTTTTCAGCCTTCAATACCCAGCTGAATGTGACACCTCTTCCAGGGAGCCCCTTTGGGGCTCCTGAGATGTCTGGTACTTGCCCACCCTGCAAAGATCTGTCTTGCTGTCTTGGATGGGCCCACTAGTTTCTCTCTGTTGAGCTGCGGATGCTGCAGGATAAGCAGCATCTGTGGTTTCCTCTTGTATTCTTGGTGCCTAGGGCTGTGGCTGACTTGTTATTAGATGTTTAAGAAGTGCTAGGTGGATTCAGGCTTCTGTGGGAGAAGAAGGAAACAATAAAGCTGTGAGAAAGGCCATCCCAGACAAAGCTGCAGGCTGCTGTGAGAGTAATGAGGAAACCAAGGGAGTAACATCAACTCTAATAATAGGGGAGTGGAAGAGTACATTTTGCAACTCCTTTCAGCAGCTTCACATATATTATTATAATTTGATTTTCATAAAAATCTGGAGATATAGGGATGAGAGAAGAGTTTTGAGAGCTATGAGCTATACAGTGAGTAAGTGACTAGATTCAGATCTTGGCAGCCTGTTTGCTCGAAGCACACAATGAAGCTCCCATCGTCACCACATGATCCATTTGATCAAGCCTGGCCTCGCTGCTGTGTGGTCTACCAGGCAGATCATTGTGGTTTTATTGACTAAGAAATAATCCTCCACCCAAGGGGATGCATTTCATTAATAGAGGTCTACATAATGAATTGTCTTTGACTTTAAGGAAATAGTAGCCAGACAGAAAGCAAATCTCATTCTCAAGCACGTCTGGCAATGCAGTTTGTAGCAGGTGGTGTGGGAAATACCAGCCTCTTTCAATGTGTGGTCCCTTCTGTTTTTAGGCCCAACAAGCACATCCTGGGAAGGAAAATGCGCTGTGGACCCCTATGCCTGTTCCTATGGCTTTGGCTCTGTCTATCCTACATTCAAGCTGTGCCCATCCAAAAAGTCCACGATGACACCAAGATCCTCATCAAGACCATTGTCTCCAGGATCAATGAAATTTCACACATGGTAAGGAGGGTCTGGGGAAACAAAGTAGAACTCTAACTAGCCCTGCATTGGCTCTTGTGGGCCTGAAGCCAGATAGTCCCAGAAACACTTTCGAGCACCTTCTAAATGCCAGGCACCTACTGAATGCTGAGGAGGATTTAAAAGCACAGGGCTCCCATTCTTTCTGTCTGTTTCTCATAGCCCTTCTGCCTGCTGGGATTCAGGAGTGAGTGGTTCTAATTCTTAACCACTTTAAGAGCATTTAACTTTGCTCCCATTAAAAAATCATAGCATTCTCTGATATCACAAAGCCGCCACAGGGAATCCCTGACCTCAGAAGCCGGCTGAGGTATGTGCAGTGACATGGAAGGGCTGTAGTAGTCTTGATTCCTCCCCACCACACAGACCGCCACCTCTTCTCTTCCTCTTCCTCTTCCCCTGCCTCGGCCACCCTCACTCTCCCTCCTCCCTGACCTCACTCTCTGGTGCTCAAAGGTCCCTGTCCCACTGGCAGGTAACCAGAACCCCAGCCACGTCCCCACGGGGCCTGGACCATCCCTGGATGTGTACATCATTAGGGTTCCTAGAGTTTTCACTAGTTCTGCTTTCAAGGACACACAGAAGAGTGAATTTCCCTGTGCTTATTGCAAACAGCTGTCATTGACCACCCTAGCGTTTTCTCTGGGCTCTAACAGAGTAGACCTTTAGCCATTTCCCAGATAGGTCTGTAAATGGAATTCACTAAATGAATCTTTTCACGTCTCCTTTCCATGTGTAAGATCTTAAACGAGTTCATCAGTGTCTTTAAGCCTTGCTTTCATCATCTAGATGATGGGAACATCATGTAATCTCTACCAGGTTGTTATATGTCACTCATTGGTCAGTTTGACCCTGACCAGTAAGGAGAGGGAACCGCGTGAAAACCTGACTGGGACAGAGGAATCTGGTGAGGGTGGAAGGAAATGAGAGTGGCGGAGGGGGGTACTTATGGAGGACCTAAGATACCTGGAGAGAGACTTCACTAAATAAGAAACAGGAATCCATGGCTGTTTCTTCACAGAAGTGATTGGAAGAAAGGAATATCCAGGGCCGGGGATTTAGCTCAGTGGTGCCGCTGCCTGCCTCACAAGCACAAGGACCCGAGTTCGATCCCTGGTACCAGAAAAAAAAAAAAAAAGAAAAGAAAGAAAGGACTATCCCAAGATTAGTCAGAAGTGGATGGTAGGGTGGTTTGGGATGGGCAGGAATCTAAGAGACCAGCTAAGAGTTTCGGCTGTCCCTTGGGCACAGTAAATGGTGAGGAAGGGGTAAGAAAGCTGTCTTCAGCATTCATAAGGGTGGTGGTGGGCTTTGGAGAGTTTCTCTCCCCACTTGCTGAGCACTTGCTTTCCCTCTTCCCTTGTGTAGCAATCAGTGTCCTCCAAACACAAAGTCACTGGTTTGGACTTCATTCCCTTCTACCCAGACCTGAGTTTCTCCAAGATGGACCAGACACTGGCAGTCTATCAACAGATCATCATCAATTTGTCTTCCCGAAGAACTATGGTGCAAATTTCTAATGACCTGGATAATCTCCGGAATCTTGTCCACATGCTAGCCTCCTTTAGGGGCTGCCCTGTGCCCCAAACCAGGGGCCCAGACCTCCTGGAAAACCTGGGTGGTGCCTTCAAAGAATCAATCTACTCCACAGAGGTGGTGGCTCTCAGCAGGCTGCAGAGGTTTCTGCAGGAAATGTTGCTGCAGCTGGACCACAGCACCATGTGCTGAGGCCTTCAGGCTGCTCTTTCCCGGAGGTCCATGTTGAGGGAAGAAACCTTGGCTTCCAGGTGTCTCTGGGAGAAGAAAGCCTTCGTTGGACATCCCTTATCCAGAACCTTGTCCATTTCTCTCTTCTAAGCCACTCTTCCTAAGGCATAAGACCACATTGCTTGTTACCAAAGATATATGTGCATGATTCCATGCTCACCAGGAAGGGGGTCCATCCAGCAAAGAGTATACTGTATGGGTGATTCTCACTAAAGTCTTTAGCCATCAACAGGTGTTGCCTGTCTCCTTTTGGTTCCACCTCCTTCTCTATGTGTGCTTCAGGGTAACCAGGGGTGATTTCAGAAACTGGGCAGAGAGAGCCTTTGGACCTTCTCAGAGCAAGGTTCCACCTGAAATTCTGGGGAGCACTGAGAAGGCTGCATTCACTTTCAGCTGGAAACTCCCAAGCAACACAAATTGGAAGCACTTGTTTATACGTTACGCATTTCATTCTAGATGGATTTGAAGCAAAATGCTGTGCCAGCTTTTCCAGGCTTTGGGGTCAGCCAGGACTGGGGATGCCCCTGGGATGTTGGTTCTAGTCCCATTAACAGGCCTGGCTAAGGCACCCTACTTTGAGTGACTGGAGGATTGATATTGTCTGAGCAAGAGCCAATTGAGGAGGTAGCTCTCAAGCCATTTCTCTAGTGACTGGTTATGTTTTACTGTGACTCTCTTTAAAGTGCACTTTTCACAATGGCATTTCCCTGAGTGAATCCCCAAGGGCTAGTTTATTTTAAGAAGAAGGTGAATTTCATCAAGTAATATGCACCTGAGTGTACAGAGGGTGGGTATATGTTGGTGCGAGGGAAACAGATCCAGAGCATACTTTCTGAATAACATTTGTGTAGTAGGCTTTTTGGAAGGGATGAAGTCCTTTTTCCTCTTCTGCAGCCACTAAGGTGGTTTCCATGAAGAGAATAAAGGAGACGTCTCTCTCAGGGGGTTGTGAGGTTTACATGGTGTCTATGGAGGGAAGGCACTAAAGCTGAAGGTCCTTTGGTGGTGTGGTACTAAGATCAGGGAGTGAGGATCCCACACTGGAGACAGTGATCCCCCAGACAGGGGTCCTTGGTGTGGCTCTCCAAGTGGCTCAGAGTTGATCCCACGCTGGGTTTATAGCATGCTGACCTCCCTCTTTTGGATTTGCCTGCAAAATGTTTTTCTTGTCTGACTGGCTCATCCAAAAAAGGGGGCTATATTTCCCACCCATTCTGTGGCTAGTTTTATTCCAGTGGGAAAGTGAAATCCTTTAGCAGATGGTCCTGAGCCCTGGGACTGCTGGGTGAGTGTCAGGGCCCTGGGCCAAGCTGCCAGTTTGCCCTTCTGGCTAGAGGTCACATTCAGGAGGCTGAAGGAGGAGGCCTGGGTTTTGCTGCCATCCTGCCTCTGTGATGTCGCCATCACACTGTGGGTGGTAGATCTGTCCAAGGAAACTTGAATCAAAGCAACAATACACTTTAAGACTGAGCACTTGTGCTCAGCCCTGACTGGTGCTGTGGGCTAAAGAAGCTCACCAAATAAACATGAGAATCAGGGACTTGCATCCCCATGGCAAAGCCCCACTCACCAGTGTGCCGTGGCAGACGCTTCACTATGGCTTGCCGAACAGCTAAAAGCACAGTGCTATCTTCAGTAGGTGAAAAATGGCATGAGCTGAGAGTGATGGTGACCAGGGGGCCACAGGTGACCCTGCTTGCACTCTAGTATTTCCATTCTTCTCAAGGCAAGTACGCATCTTTCAGTATGTAGCACATCCTATTGACATGGGATAACTAAATCCAAAAAAATAAGGAAAAATAGGTTGAATGTCCCTTATGTGCTTGGAAACTGAAAGTGTTTTCGACTTTGGACTTTTTTTTTTTCAGATTTTGGAATATTTGCATGTACATGATGAGGTATTTTGGTGATAAGACACAAGTGTAAACATGAAATTCATTCATATTTCATATATATCTTATACTCACAGCTTGAAGATACAATATTTTAAATAATTTTGTGCATGAAGCAGTGTTTCATAGAATGGACTTTCCCACTAGTGGTATCGTGTCATTGCTCAAAAGCTTTGGATTTTGGAATGTTTCAGATTTCAGATTTTCCAACTGGGGTTGCTTAGCTTGTACCTGAGACCCTAACAGCTGACAGGCGGAAGCACCAAGCCTGGAGCTCAGGTCTTCTGATCTTCAGAGTGTCCCTTCAGCCAGGGAATGCTCTCTGGATATGGGCTGGAGCAGGTGAGACCCAGAAGAGTTTGGAGGTGGAATTTGAAGAAGGTGAGGGATGTGAATGGTCCACAAGGAGGAGGCCGTTTTGTTGAAAGCTTGGTGTGGAAGAGACACAAGTGAAAATGTGAGCAGCAAGTGACAGCGAAAAGCAGAGGAAGAAGAGATGGCAGGGAAAGAGACATGTTAAAGGGACTCTGAGGTATGCAAAAGCTGAACACTAAAAGTCACGCGTACCAAGTTCTGGAGAAGAAGCTGTGTGGTGGCCACTGTCAGACCCGCTCTGGGAAGTCAGCTCAGCCACTCGTCACACTGGCATGTTGTGAGCCTTTTGCTCACAAGCCCTGGCACTACGACTCATTCTCAGAGTGTGACACTTCCCAAAGGCAAATGCTTTTTTTTTTTTAATCCTCGTTTAAAAGAAAAAAATTCAAATAAATCTACTTTGCCCCATGGTCTTTGTTTTCTTCTGCTTGTTGTGGAGGGGCTTCTGGGAGCTGTTTGTGTGTGACAGGGCAAGGCCTGGCTGGCATCCAGCCATTGCTAGGGTCAGCTCCGTCCAGGCTTGGCCATAGCCAGCTGCCAGTTATTCAGGCAAAAGGATTACCCCAAAGCCCAGAGCTAGCAAAGGAGCACCTCCTGAACCAGAGGCAGCACAATTCTGCAAAGTGGCCTCGAGAAGCACATTATTTAAAACACAAACATCCAAGAAAACAGTCAAAGAGAAAACAAGCAGCCCAATCATCAGACCCAGCCTGGTGCATAGAGTTGAAAAGATGAACTTGGCTTGTGGCAGGTGCAGAGCCCTCATCCCTTACAATTCGAATGAGACCTAATCTGCTCAACCCAAGCCCTGGGGACCTCAGGGACCTTGGGGCCAGCTCATCAAAGGCAGTCATTTCCATGAGCAATTGTAAAGACCATCCCTCCTGCCGAAAAAGTTGCTGGGGTTCATGGGGATTAAATCAGAGAATGAGCCAGTCTAGTACCTGGGTTTAAGTGAACTGTCCTTCCCTGTCCATCACAACCAGTAACAGGCTTTAAATGACATCGGTCCTAATGAGGAGCACATGGATGTCAACTTCCCTTCATAGGAGAAAACAGCTGCTGGTTCCTTTCCTGCTCTCTTAGCCCAGGCTGCTGTAGCAAACTGTCACAGACTGGGGATTAAAACAGCAGACATTTATGTCTCACAGTTTAGGAGACTGGAAGTCCAAGATCAACATCTAAACATAGTCGGGTTCTAGTAAGGGCCCGCCTCCGAATGGCAGACGGCTATCTTCTTATATCCTTTCACAGGAGGGGGAGAGAGAGAGCTTTGGGGGGGACCCCTTCATAAAGGTGCTAATCAACTCATCGGGCTCCACCTGCATGACCGAATCACTATCAAACACCCCACTTCCTGCTAGAATCACTTTGGGGTTAGGGTATCAACACATAAAATTGTGTGTGACACAAATATTCAGTCTGTTGCACCTGTGTTCCGGCCTGGAGGAAGGGGAAGGGAGCCCTGAGCTCCTGAATGACAGGAGACCGTAGAAGGAGGCTGCCAGATGTGGCTGTAGCAGCCTTGATGGGCCACTTGGCAGTTCAGAGTAGTGGCTTCCTCTGTGCCTGGCAGGACTCCTTTAACGTTGAGAGATGTGTATCCAAGCAGACAAACCTAGATTTAAAAAGAGAATGCATCAGCCCATACTGATAAGAAGTCCAGGACCTGGCTCATGTCTGATACCCTTTCTTCTCATTTCCCTCCTATGTGGTGGCAATGGTGGTCTCCAGCATCTCGAGGCTTCTGGGACCCTTGGTACCCAGATCACTGGAAAACAACTCTTCCTCAGTAATGCCAGAAACATTATAAGGAAGGCTCTTAGGCCAGGCCTGTGTTACATGACCACCCTTGTTGCCAAGGCTGGAGCACACCATGTGAGCCTCATGGAGTAAGAATAGGGGAGAAAGGTCTCCACCGTGAGATACAGAAAACAGAAAAAGATAAATAAAGCAAACTTGTAAAACACAGAAGACATACCCAGCAGAACATCTCATTCTCTCAGAAGGCACATGACATTTATGGTTTTTCTTCAGAAGATCTGAAGCTCCACCTCTTACTTCTGGGAGTCCCTGCTCCGGCCCACCCATCACTCTGTCCTGGACAGCCCAGGGGACACTAGGACTCACCCCCTAGTAGGCTTCAACAGCCAGGTCCTGAGCCACTGCCATCAGCACACTCCCCAGGCCTCTGTCCTCATCCTAGAAGAGAAGGCTGCTGGAAGATAGGCTCCTCCTACAGTTCTTCAGGCCTGTGAATTCCCAGCGGGGACAGGTCAGGATGGAAAGGAGTGTGGATACCGGAGGAATAGGATGTGGGGTGCACTGTCCAGGGATGGAGGGCTGAGCTGTCTTCATCCCCAGGGGCCTAGAACAGCGCAGTGCTGTGATTTACTCAAGACCCGGGCCCGCCTGAGGTAGGTTCCAGGGGCTTGGAAACATGTCTTCGCCTTGGTGCGTTATCTGGAATAGACTGAGCCATCCGGTTTCTGAGTATCACAGGCCAGAGAAGGCCAGCTGGGAATGATGTGGAAAGCCATTCACAGTAAAACGGGGTCCCAGAGCAGAGGCTTGGAGGCGTCACATCCTCCGTGGCAGTGAGTGTGCAAGCTCTGGGTAGAAAGCAAATGCTTCACGCTCCCCTTCTCCATCACATTCCCCTCCTACGGGTCCTTTTCCATTCTTAAATATTCTCTTGGTCTCCCCTGAGGCAGCAGCTCACACCTGTCAAGCAGCTGGCAGAGTCTGGGACAGCACCTGGCCATGATCCACCTCCAAAGGCAGGACTTTGTTTTTGCCAAGTCTAATGAGAACAAAATTCCAGGTAAACCCAGCAGACCTTTCAGGATACCCCATCCCAGAAGCTTTCTATACAACAGCAAGCAACCAAGAAATGTGCACCCCATTTTCTGAAAGGAATTTAGAGCCATTTACTCCAGGCTTTTAACACTAGGACCTCTCTTGGGATCGGCCTGCACAAATCCATCTGGAATAAGTCCCTGGTACATTGTCATTGCCAGCTCCACAGGGTCCCTGCCCTGGAAACTCATCCTCTCAGGGGATGGATGGTAGAACCGAAGATGCAAAGAAAGGTAACAGAGACTGCTTCGGCCCCAGCTCCCCAGCTCCCACCAAGGAGTACTCAACACTTAGGCCTCAGTTTGTCACCTCCACGATGGGACAAGTCTTAGAAGATTAGATAATAAAATAACTGATATACAGAAAACCCTCAATAATTATGTTGCTATGATTATTATTAGCAAGTTAGGAGAGCAAAAGGAATGAGAATTGCTTCAGCAGGTGCTTTTGCTGCCGTAGACCTGTGAGTACACTGCAGCTGCAATCCACGGTTCCTCTACCCAGAACTCCCCGCAGCATCGCTCCACTGCCCCACCCTAGGGAGCCTCACAGCCCACATGCACAACCTGAAGTGGGAAGCAAGTCCTGAAGAGAGACTAAAAGCCCCAGCCTTCTACTTCCACAGGGAAATCACGGGATGCCATCTGCATGAGACTGCGTCCCACGGGCCCAGGAACCAGATCAAAAGGCACTTTCTACTGGCTATTTCCCTTCCACAGCCCTATCTCCCTGGTCCTCGTTCCTGGTTCCCAGGGACACCTCCCAGTCCGTCTCCTGCTCTGGATGGAGTCCTTGTGTCAAGCTCTGCTCTTGGAGGAACTCTAGGCAAGACAACTGCAAAGAAGATGAATGCTGACAGACCTGTGAGGCAAAGCGGCAGAGAACTGCAGGAACCCCACACCGAAGCTTCAGCAGGAGATCCCTGTGCTGTCTCAAGGGATGAAGTCTAAGAGAGGAAAGTAGGGAGGGTCCTCGGGAAGGAGGGAATGCGCTCCAAAGAGGCGCCCTTGACATGAAAGGAACAAGCACAGGAAGAGTCATCTACAGAGACAGAGGAGGGAAGATGTTCATAAAGGAGGGGATGAGGAGAACAAAAGAGGAAGTGGAGTTAAACACCACTCTGTGACAACTGACTGGCAGCAGTGTCCAGCACAGCTGAGCCCTCCATCCTGGCTTGTGGCCTAAAAAAATGAGACTCTTGTATAAGAAGCACATTATTTAGCAAATTCTGCAAGAAGCCCAAGAATGGCCCAAAGGTTCAACTTCTTATTTAAATTCTGTTCACTCTTCATTTCCTCAGCAAACCTCTTCATTTTGAGTTCACACACATAGGTCCTTGAAGGAAACTCGGAGACAATGAGAGATATCTGAATGTAGATTCAATTTTGATAAAGACAAGGAGCTATGGTTAAGTTTAGTAGCCGTGATGACAGGATGGTGAATTGTTTTTTACTGCTT